CTATCCTAACATAATTCTTAAAGAGTATTCAGGTGTTTCAGAGGTAACCAACATATTGCTGAAAGCTTTGATCTTGCCAAGATGTCAAATGACATTAAGGTCAGTTAACTATTAAAACAAAAGTGCCTGGAGGAACATGCCTAAGTCCTTTTAGTTTTTGATTAATAAAGTTTGCTAGAGCACGTGAGGATTAATCTGAGTCCTGATGCAGTTTTCCACAGTTTCTGTACAAGAGGTATTTCTCAGTTATAATTATGCACTTACTACCAGCATATTAATGTTCAGTGAACTGACCATCAGTAAGTGACAAGGGTGGAAACTGTATCGAGGTTTATTACTATCTGTTTAATAAAAAACAGTTATTCTTTGATTGTGACTTATTTTTTTTGATAGAGGAATATCATGCATGTTAAGAACTTTAACAGAACTTGAAACAGAATGAGTTCATGAGTTCATAAGGATGTTGATTTTCAGACTCTAGAAAGACAAAGATCAGTAACCTTTACTCCTGGCAGGGTAACCAAGGTGGCATTCAAATCTTCAGTAGATCTTGCTATTGCAGAGGCAGATTTTCAAAGGTTCTTAACTCAGGTTCTAATTTAGTGCTTGCTATTTTAAGCCTGCAGTATGCCCAGGCAAACTAAGCTAATAGTGGATATTGACAAACTTGTGACGGCTTCCACGAAACCTGTTCTTTTGAGAAGAGAGAGGCAATTATGACACTACCTTCTCCCTTTTGCACTTATTCTTTTTTGGACAAACTTTTAATTAAAATCTTTGGAGCATTCAAGTAGACGCTGATCTCATTTGGCACTTCTCATTTAGAACTTACCCTGTTGTGGGTCACCGTGGTGTGTTTCAACCTCAGGCTCAGATCAATGTCTAACAAGTTCCCTCCTCTGCAGTTTCTTCAGGTGTCTTGGACTGGCTGCCCTGGGACTTTGGGAACACACATTCTGGCATGAAATACGTCTCTTTGAAACACATCTGGTTCTGTTTAGTATGGTAGTGGGAAACAATATCCATGCTGCTGCTTTTTACATCATGATTTTTGGATGTGTTTTTCATGTTCCTTTTGGCTTCTTTTGTGCTGTACAGAGGAGAAAGCATACAGCTGCTTTCACAGAGTCTATTTAAATATTGAAGGGAATTATATCTGAGTGACCTCGAGGACAGTGCAATGGCAGTGTGGCTACAGTACTTCACCTCAGTGTTAGTCTGTTTTTTTGTAATAAGGCAATTCGAGTTTATCTCTGGAAACTTTGGCTTCGCATGCAATGTTATAAAAGAATATTTGGCTAGAGAAGCTGAGTTGGGCGTCCTTACACCAGGCCTCCCAACACTTCTGACTGCAGAAGTGCAATACATAACACGCATTAAGTTGTCTCAGAGTTGAGAAGACTTTGTAAGGCTTGGATGACTGTGGATGGGAAGTGGGGAATGAATTTCTTGTTCTGCTTTGCTTGTATGCGCGGCTTTTGCTTTACTTATTAAATGGTCTTTATCTCAACCCACAAGTTTTCTCACTTTTACTCTTCTGATTCTCTCCCCCATCCCACCGGGGGAAGTGAGCGAGTGGCTGTGTCGGGCTGAGTTGCCAGCTGGGGTTAAACCACAACGATGGTAACAGAATTTTTCCATGAAAATGTAAAAATGCACATTGCATGTATTCATGTTCTCTGATGGTGCAAGGCATGTTGAAGATTCTTTTTCAGGAAACTGCTTCTGTGATTTACTGTTGATAAATTAGAAGTTTGGTTTTGCTGTAGCCTTTTTTTTGTACATGCTGCATTAAGCTAGTAGTATATTCCCTGAAACATTGGATTCTGAGGACGGGATATAATTACAAAGAAATTCATTTGGATTTAACAAGTTACTGTCACTACACTTTCTGTTGCTCTTCAGAGAAAGAAAAAAAAAAGAGTGATGTTACAGTTACAGTCCTAAAATTCAGATGCATTAATGGAGTTTTACAAGTTTAACTAAGAAGAACAACAGTGATTATTTTGGGTGAACGCTGTTTTTTCTATTAAGAGAATTTTCTGGATAAGAACAGAAAGTACTCAAAGGTCATGATGGATTAAGTCTCAGGAATCTAAACTAAGAAACTTACATTTGGCTTTGTTAAGCACAGCACCAAGGAGTTTTCTTTACGACAATCCACTTACTGGTTGTTTATAGATTGCAGATAATGGTATGGTGTACTAAATAGGCCACTTGCCATCAGACAGAGGTTCCTAAGTGTGAGAAACTGAAGCTTGCAAGAGGCTGATGTGAAACATATATTAGTACTTCTGTGGGAGTAAAGGGATAACATCAGTACATGCATACATCAGACAAAAGTAATGTATACTAGTTGGAATGTGACTGTTTTTTGGAGAGGGGTGTAATGGTGCAATTAATGAAGTTCAGAGGGAGAGAGTACAGCTGTTCAGCTGAAGTGGCACACCTTCCTGCTCCTTAGAAAGGTAACACTGTTTACAAGATTAGACATTTTGGCAACACAAATACTAAGTTCTTCATATTATTAATTAGATTTAAATTAAAACTGATAATTTTAGGTGTTCCTCTTTGTATGTTGTTTCAGTTCCTGTAAAGCTATTTTGAAAATAAATGCATGTGTAGATATGTTTTCATGTATGTATAAATAGTAAATACACACTGAAATCAAGTATTAACACCATCAACTTCAAAAATTCTGACTTTACATTCATTATTAAGCTTGTGGATAAATCGTGTTGTAAATATAGATAACTGTTTTGACCTGGACCATGTTCCCTGTCACTTCCCCAGGCCTGTTAACTGGGACATAGTGCCATGTCAGTGCGATTATCCTGCTTTCAGAGTCAGACAGGGTGTGCATACATCACTTTTGTGGAGCCAGAGGCATTAAATAGGGACTGCAGGGACACTCAAGTTGGCTTCTGTAGCAAAACTTTTTACAAGTTCAGTGCCAGTCTGGTTGGACCCAAGCTGGCCAAAAGGCTTAAGTTTATACTGTGCTCTCTGATGTTACTGGTAAATATCAGTTACCAAAAAAAATTACTCACTTTTTCACAGTCTTGTTACCCCAGCTAAGTTGCTTCAAAATCCGAGCTAGCTGGTGTGTGAATGAAGGAAGCATTCTTTTCAGTTGAAAGTATATAGAAATTTATTAAGGAGAAAATGGTGTTCTGTATCACTTTGCTTTCTTTGGACCGTGACAATTTTAATCGTATCCTTTGGTCTTGTGTTCAGAAACTTTCTTCATCCAGGATGTTTTCCCACTTTCCTCCTTTAACAGGAATACTTAACTCCTGGAGATTTCACAGCAGTTTCTTCAGTCTGATGTTTTTCCTTTCTGCCACCTCTCCAGCAATACCTGCCTGATTTTTATTACTTGTTTAGGATCTCTACCTTCTACACTGTTTGATTTAATAATGGAAGAGGCATAACAAATACTTTTTCATCAATTTTTAAGGATCTTCTGTTGTTGATTTTGGGAGAATTGAATACTTCCGTTCTATGGTGGTTTGTTTTTGGGGTTTTGATTTTTTTTTTTTTTAACAGCATTTAATCTTTACTAGAAGTGAAAACCATATTAGGATTTCAGTGAACTTTCTGACCATGAAAATCAGTAATTAGGGTAGATTGGTTAGAATTTTTTTGCCACAAATACTGAATTTTCAAAATTCAGAGTTGCTGTAATCATTGCATAAACAAAATATTTCTTGATACTTTTTTTATTCGCCAAAAATCTTTTCAGAAAACATGTATTTAAATTTTGAAAATTTAAGAATGTGTGATTTTTCCTAAAAAGAGATATTCATAGAATGTAATATGGGTGGCCCCAATCTTGCAGTTCAGCCGTACTTGTGCTGGTTATTTTTTCCCCCCCATTGTGTCTTGATGCTGTTGATTGCAGAAGAGCCTTAAACCCCAAGTTTTTCTGGATTACATGCCAACAATATTGCAGACAATACACACTCAGGAATTGATAGAAGTTTCTGTTTCTCTGAGTGCCATTAAGTAGTTGTCTAAGTATTTTTCATTTTCCTGTGACCATTAGGAAAGGATTGGTACTTGGTGCACTTGTTACTTACTGTGACAGACGCAAATGACAACGTACCTGAGTGGGCCATGGAGCCCTTCCCATTCATGGCTGTGGTTTCCCCTGACGCTGCAGGAGGTACTGAAGTATACAAGCTGCTTGCTGTGGATGCAGATGAAGGGATCCATGGAACTGTAGAATATTTTCTCTTGGAAGGTAAATTTTAACCCTCTTGTTCCCTGCATATTAGGCTTCGCTATTGTGGCTTCTTCATCTTTTATCCTGTTTCATTAGTAAAAGGTCTTCCCTTCCTCTTGCAAAAGGCTCATAAGCCTTCAGCTCTGCGTGTGAGAAAAATCAACCTCTATTGAGGGTATAGATAGATTTGCCAGATTTAAAGTGTGTACTCCCTGCAAAGCTGAGTTCCTGCCCAGATTGTCCCCTCAGGGATGATGGGAACTGGAGCTGCCAGTGCTCCTCAGGGCTTTGGCAAGGGGGTGGTAATGGCAGCAGTAGTCAGCACCTCTCTGCTGGACTGCCCGTTTATGAGACAGGGCAGTATGTGGAGTACAGTGTGTTGGGTGGAGAGTGTTAATGTTCCTTCTCCATTGTGGTTCATTTCTAACAAATTTTTATGATCCGAGTTGTGCCTCAGCTTTGCAAAGCTAGTACAGGCTCATTAATAATTTTCTTTGTGGGGCTCTTAAAAAAAAACCTTCAGTAATAGTTCAAAATTGTCTAAGCAGAAGGAGAGTAGCAATACCACTCCAAAGGTGAATTTGTTCATTTTGGCAGGACTTTAGAAACATAGAATGTATTGGGTTGGAAGGGACCTCTAAAGGCCATCTAGTCCAACCCCCCTACAATAAGCAGGGACATCTCTAACTAGGTCAGGTTGCTTTAGCAGGGTATTTTCTGGTAAGGGATATTTAGAGTCAAACAACAACAAAGTGTTGGAGGATAAAGAAAGAGCAATAATTGTCCAGAGAAATAAAATGCAACTTAGAAGTGTAATCATGAATGTAACTACAGATTTCTGATTTCTAAACAAACTTTCAGATTTTTGTATGCATGCTGATTCTAAGCCAAAACCAACTTGGGAATTGACACTGTATTCTCCTCTTAATTTTAATCAAGTAAAAATGTTCTTGCTGACAACAATTTGTGGATCTGTTCTTTTTAGGTGGTGAAGACAGGTTTGAAGTTGAGAAGGACACTGGCTGGATTAAAACAACAGGCTTGCCATTGGTGAGGGACAAGGAGTATTTCCTGACTGTACTAGCAGCAGATAAACTTGGAAGCAGAGGGTCTCCAGCCTCTGTTTCTGTAATTGCTGGATTTCGACCACCACAGTTCACGAATGTATCGTATTTTGTTTATGTTCCTGAAAGTATGCCACAAGGAAAATCGTAAGTAACAGTTAAAAATAATGCAGTGAGATTGTGTTCCTAGTTTAACTCCTGTTTGATCTCCCCAAAGCCTCAGCATTGTTTGTGAATCATAGATGCTGTGAGTAGCAATTTAGATATCTTAATAGAAGCGATCAAGATTGATGTATTTTTTTAATCACCCTTTTATAACGAAAAGTGGTATTGAATAATTATGGTTTCTTGCTTTTTTAAATGATATGAGAAGTATCAGTAGATGCTGATTGTTTCTTAATTTTCAAATAAAATGTAGAATACAAATTAGAACTGTTACATCATGAAGAAGGATATCCTGGTGCGAAAGAATATATTAATTTTATGTGTAAAATTCAGAGAAGTGCCTTCTCTCAAGTGAAAATCAGAAAAACCAAATGACTGTCTTTGCTGTCTTCATCATGGTGACAAACTGAGCAAAAATGAAGATGTCACGAAGCTTGTAATTTTATTTTTTCATCCTTTGTCTAACCATGTGGATCTGAATATCACAGAAAATGTTAGTAACATAGTTCCACCTGAATACTCAGTTCTGTCTTTCCCGAACTGTTTTGTTCTTACGACAAACATTTCCTTTTCCGGTTGAATCAAGAATACTTTTGTCCAGTAAGTGTCTTCCTTGTGTGATCGTTACACTGTTATTCATATTACATTATTTGTGGTGTTGTATTTTACTGTTCACTTTACAACTTTCGGTTTTACAGTGTTTAAATAACCAAAGTATGTTAAGATAAAAAAATGTTAGCAACTGTTAATAGTAGATAACAAGGTTTTTCTTTAAAACTGCAATAAACTTAAATAGCAGAAGCATAAAAGAAATGCAAGAACTGTGAAATGCTGTGAGACCTAACAGGTACCTGCCATCTTGGGTTCAATAATGTTTAGGATTAAAAATGATGAAGTTTTTGTAACTATTTTTATCACTATTTAAACATAGGTTTGCACACCTAAGATGATAACAGATTAGTCAGTTTGTCAAATTACTTGCTAGTATCCAAAAGGAACAAAGTATTTAATGTGGTGGTTATTACTATGTCAGAAGAGGTTTGAATATACACAATGCACCTACTGAAGTGGTTTCCTTTTGTGTGTTGACCAGAAATACTCATGAAAATCCATGTAGAACCCTAAAGTTCTGGTAAAGTATGTAGGAAAACAGAGTTACTGTCATGTGCTGGATTTCTGGGTTTAGGATTTCACAATTATAGGCTGATTTAAGACTGCTGCTGAGTGGAGGAGTGTTACCAAATCTTTCTCTTCCTTTGGTCTGCCACTAGTGCTAATATGCTAGCTGCATGGTCAGGCTGATCCAGTGAAAGACAAACCCAAAAAAAGACGTTTTCAGTTGGGTTGTTAAATGTGTTCACAGCATGGCCTTGTGAATTTTAGTGCTGACAGGAGAGGTGAGGTGGCGTGAACATGCAGCCAGGGTAAGGAGTTAGGAGGAGGGCAAAATAATTCCTGTTGGCAGGAACATGGTTGTGCGCTGGCTGAAACTGACTGTGAGACCACAGCATAGGAAAATACAGGAAAAAAACAGAGTGAGATAACGACCTACAGCAAACTTTTCCATTGTTTCAGTAGTGCACCTGAGGGAAGTGGGAAAACAGCAGCGTGGAAATACAGCGGGGGAAAAGGTGTTGGCACAAACTGAGTTTTGTCTTTTTGATTGTAGCTGTCACTGAGTCATACCTGTTGGTGGGTTCTCCTGGGAGACGGAATTCTTTTTCCTAAGAAACCTGCATGATAAGGCAACAAACACTTGAGGAATTAGTATTCTGTTTTAAACCCATTAAAAATACTTAATTTTTAATTTCTTCTTTTACTTCTTACTGCAAGTATTTTTCCCCCTTGAAGACTTGAAACACATCAAACTTCAGTGGAAAAAAGATAGTGCCAGTCAGGAGCTAAAAGCATATGTCCTGTATAGCCTGTAACATGCACCCTGTTAGTGACTGACATTTATCCTTTTGCAGTTATCTGTTGAAACTTTAGGGTGGTGTGACTTACCATAACTTAACCATGCTGCTGTCTTGCTTTATCTTTTAGTTTCATGATGAAAACCATCACCACTGTAGCAGAAAGTTAGAGTAGGCAAATTCAGTTGCAGCAAAAATGAAATCCTCTGTTCATGTGGTTTTAATCCTTACTGTGTTCTGCTTCCAAGAATCCTATCTTTATCTGTTTAACCTCAAGATGATAGAACTACTGTATAACAAAATGATTGAATTTGGTGTTTAGGTACAGCTGTCGTTGACTTCAGTGAGTATTGCTCTGATCAGACCTAGAGGACTGCATCATCATTTCTGATACGTATCATTTTTGTCGTATTTTTCAGTAGGTTGTATTACGTGCCTGAGTCCTCTTTTTTCCTTTTTCTTTTTTTTTTTTTTTTTTTAAATACAGCTTTCTTACAGTCACTGCTGTATCATATCAAAAGAAATCCCTGAGCTACAGTTTGCTAACTAATCCTAGTGGTCTGTTCAGTATTGATCGGGCAACGGGAGATATTAGTTTAACTCGGAGTGTGGATTATGAGAGTGACCCACACCAATATCTTCTTTTGGTCAGAGCAGAGGAAAATGAGGAACAGTTCAGTAGTACAGCTGAGGTAGGTGTTCACTTCTGATGGTCTGTATGTATTTCCAGTTTCCTTCAGCCTTTCCAGATTTCTGTACAGATTCTCTAGGGGCTCCCGTTTCCCCTGCTCATGCTGCCTAGTCTACTGTCCATTTTAGAAGTCTTCCTGTCTCTGTGGGTAGATCTTGAGGGCTGGTTTAGGTACTCTTAGAGTTCCTCTTGCACATGCTGAGAAGGCTGTTTCTGAGGGATCAATGTGCCATCCCATCATGGGGCCTAGGCCTTGTCTGGGAAGATACGGAAGTGGATGCGGCCAAGCCAGACATGAGGTTTTGTTTTAGTCTAAACTGTCATAAAGTCTGATGTATATTTGAGATTGTTCCAATTTAAAACAAAGGCAGAACAGAAAATTATTTGTTTTGTATCAAGAAAATGAAGTGAATTTGTAAAGAGAGAAAGTAATAAAAACTCACACATATTAAAAGATAATGGTTCATGGTATTTTAGAAAGCTGTTTGGCAGCAAAAATATTTCTAAACATAGTTACTACAGTTGTTTGAATTCAAGGATTCACTGAGCTAGGAAGTGCATGGAATGTAACAGTTTGTTCCTGCTGCAGGAAATAAAATGTACACTACAGAGGGAGCAGGAGACAGAATTGTTAGGAACAAGTGTGAGGACTCAGAGAGACAGTGAAAAACAGTATGTCAGTGTAACAAACAGTGGCTGTAGCACACCAGAGACTGGTAATTTCTATTGACTCTTTTATGTACTACAATATGAAGAGTGGTAGAATATGACCTGAAAGATGATTTAGCCTATAATACATTTAGCCTAAATGTAGTTTGACTTGCACCTGCTTTACACTGATACAGCCTCAATAATTAAGAGAGCAACTCCCAGTTTATACAAACCTCTGTAAGGGTAGGTGGAGTATACGCCTACCTGTTGCACTGTAATGCAGAATACTTCAACCAGCTTCAGACAGTCTAAAGTGTAGCAGTATGAACCGCCATAAAGAATAATCTAACACACTCCTTACTGTTTGGATTGTAAACAATGCAACTGTGGACTCATATTTGATACAGGAATAAGACAACATTTTTAAAGATGTTAGAAGGAGAATTGTATTTCTTACTTGTTTTACCATAATCAGTTCCATTTACATCTGATTTATGCTGCTGTAATTGAATTCAGAACTTGGTCTTGGAGATTTACACTGCTAAAATGTAATGTGCTTGGCAATAGAATTTTTAGTGTAACAAATCCCAGAAGTGTTGGAAGATAAGATAATGGAAAAAGGATGCTTGGAAAGCAGATGGTCCATTTTCCTTGAAATTATCTATAGGGAATAATCAATAGAGGTGAAGGGCGGGTGGGAAATGTTTCTGCAAGGGATGGGGACTTGGCAATTCCTAGTATTTTGGAATCTAGTATTTCAGTGGTTCTCAGCAAGAGAAGAGCAATCTAAGAAAAATGGCTCATCCTGTGTGCTATAGCTTCTGAAGATGTCAGGAATGTTTTTGGGAAATTCTTCTGTCTGATATTTCTAGAACAGTGAAGTTGTTGCCTTGACTCACTTTGCTGTTTAACGTTCCTCTCTTCTCCATTAAGGTTTTGGTTGTAATCACAGATGTGAATGATTGTGCCCCTGAATTTCATCAGTCGATTTACAGCAAAGCTGGCGTTCCTGAAACAGTTACTACAACAACTGCTCTTCTACAAGGTTAGTACTTGTGATGTTTGATCAGAAATTATGGACACATCAGCTCACCTTCTGTGCCTGTTTTTGAGTCCTATGTGGGCTTCCTGGAGGGAATCCTGATCTCTTGCCTTAAAAGCCCCTTGCACAGTTTAACTGTTTTATGTGAGGTTTTGTTTGGATGCTTGAGAAAAAAACTTTGCTTCTTCCTAATGTAGCCAATAACTTAAGCTTTAAATGATGCTGCTCTGTAAATTCTGTCAATTTTGATTTTGTAAACAGCAAAAAACTTAGATTGAAAATGTTTATAAAGAAATGGGCAAATCCTAGCAATAAAACAAATTTATGTCAACTAAGCAGTTGTGGAAGGGCCTTATATTAGTCTTTAACCCTTACATAAACTTTTTAGAAGTCTTGAGGGGAAAAAGGAAATTAAACTATAGGAAAATTGCTGTTCCCTAGTGAATAGGATTCTGTAACCTACTGTTCTACTTAGTGATTTATCCTATACTGATGGTAGTCTGCCAGTTACTATTCTGGTAACTGCGCTTTTAGCATGGGTTTTTGTAGCTCATGGGTAGGATCTGACAAACACATAACTGGTGTCAGCTGAATAATATGTGTAAATATTTCATCTTTAATCACACAGGGTGTGATCTGTCCGAGTGATCTTAAGCCAGCAGTATAGATCAGGTGGACATAAGAATATATGTCTCTGTGTGGGAATATGTTCTTGCTAGTACAGGGCTCTTCAAATCCAGCAGACAAAGGCAGGGTCTAGTGGCTGAATTCAACCAGGGACTTAACTCTGCGCCCCACCCCGCCCCCCGGCCCGCCCCAAACAACTTATTTTCAAGCACAGGGGATAGCACAGTTTTGCAAATTATTTCAAGCACCACATGCCAAGACAAATGCTATAACAGTTTTATTTTGCACACTAATTCTCTTTGTTAAAGTACTTAACATTCAAATTCACAAACTTTGATCTACACGATGTCTTTTTCTTCTCTTTTAATAGTGACAGCCACTGACTGCGATTCAAAAGAGAATGCCGAATTACTGTATTACACTTTGAGTCAAGACTTCAGTATTACTTCTCATGGTGCTATTTTTCCAGCAACACGGTTGGACTATGAGCGACCTGACCATCTTTATGAGTTCATAATTATGGCTGTAGATAAAGGGGAAGAGCCGAAAACGGGGACAGCAACTGTTAGGATCCATGTTTCAAATGTGAATGATGAAGCACCTGAGTTTTCCCAGCCAATGTGAATACATATTCTTAAAACTCTGTTATCTCTGTCTTTTACTGTTGCTTTTTACATTTGGGTTGAAAGGCTGATCATTACAGTATGGTAACTGGCTTTGGTTCAATCAGATCTGAGAGCTGGACTGACAAAAGTGGGATGATATTTTGACTCTGAGACTCTCTTACTACCAGTAGAAAAAAAAAAAGAAAAAAACCGACCAACCTCCACCCCCCCCCCAACCCCCCCCCCAAAAAACAGCTTTTAGTTGGGTTCTTAATTTGAAGGTTTAGGCATACTTTTAATGTATAGTAGGACATGTATCTAGCTAGATAGAGGTGTATATAGACAGTCTCTTTTGGCAGATCCTGCATTTATGTTTTTTCCAGTATGTACTGAAAGAGGTGGTGCAGTAATTTCAGATTACAGATTTCAAGAGGACTTCTCCACCACAAAAGGAAATCCAGCAGAAAAAGCAGGCAACTCAGTGTTGTCGTCAGCCCTTATCCAGAGTACGTGGTGGAATTTTGCCTTTTAATTAGGCAGTTTAAGCGTAGATAGAGTCAACAGTCTGCATCCCCTGTTTATAATTGTTAAAGAAAAACGCTTAGATGACAGAATCCTAAATGACCACTGAATTATAAAAACCACAAGATAAATGTCAGTAAGTGGAGTTCACTTAATTTCATTTAGTCCCATGCCCAACAAACTATTTTTTTTTTCTTTTTTCTTCTCCTAAAGCATCAGTAAGCATTTTTCTTCCATAGTTAGGGCTCAGAAGCTTCTGAAGCAATGTCAAAAGTACTATAAACTTGCATTCATGTTAGAGGCTTAATAATGGAATTCCCAGTCAGCTTCTGCATCAGCCTTCTACTCTTAAAAGTAAAAGTGTCTCAGAACAAAACCCAGGCAAAGATTTCGGTGACTCTAAGCTTGTGATTTAGCTGGACAAAACATCAAAGCTTTCTGACAGTCCTTATTTTATGTAAAGGTAACCCCTGGCTTCAAAATCTTGTGCCTTCTTTCTTTCCTAAACATTGCTTAGGAGATACAGCTTGGAAAAGTTGATCTTCTGTAAATTCTTATTGGATTATCTGTGCATTTTCAAATACTAAACTAGATTAAGTTTCTCACTCTTCAGATGATGCCTAATTTTAATTTATTTATTTGTTTTAATATTCAGGGTCATTGTATATTTACTGTATCTGTTGGTCTTGTATCTGTTCCTAATTTTTTAATCAGAAGTGAGTGATGGTATTAAAGATGCTGTAAACATCTCTAACAAATTGGAAACAGAAAACATAGTTTTAAAAAAAACCCCAACCCTGCCAGCTCTTATATTCAAAGTTTACTGAAGAATATGATTAGAATGAACATTATTTGAAATTACCAAACATTCACAAGAAGCTTTTCTCTTCCCTATGCAATAGCAGGGAAAATGCTGCCTTGTATATGTGTAGATTGGCATTGGAATTCAAATTATCTCAAGTTTTTGTTTAACCAGGCTTTGATTTTTCTTTTATCTTTCTTGTTATGAAAAAAACTTGAAGCCAAAGGTGAATTTCAAACAGAACTTAGCTGAAGGTTTCTGTGAAATAGATTCACCATGGACACCTGTAAATTAGGTCCTGTAGGCTACTTTGCAATTAATGTTACACTCTGTGGCAGGCTAATACAAATCAAGACGATCATGTTGTCCTTCTAGTCCTTTGTTTAAATAGATTTACAGTCCAGTAGAAACTTAGGATTCCTTGCCATGAGCTTTCTTGCATCACGGTTATTCTTTATCTCGGTTACAAAATGCTTACGGCTACTGCTCTGTTTCATTTAGTCGGTTTTTACTTTCTTCTTTTTAAGAGACCTCTTCTGATGACTTGAACTCTTCTGTCCTTATATTTCATGTTCAAAATTATCAGAATTACTGTTCATTTGCTTTCCAGATGCAGAGTTAAGATGGTGTCCTGAGGGTTGTGACTGAGCTAAACCAGAATAATTTATTTCTCTTACTTCATTGCATATTAAATTGGTGGAAGGAAAAAGGCAGTTTCTATGAAGGTTTTGATGAAAACACATATATCCAGACCACAAAAGCTAAGAGAGAGGTTTTCTGTGCATACATTTTCTTTTTCTTTGAACTTTTTCCTCTTCTCAGCATATGGAGAGTGGGTCCATAAGCACTCTGAACCCAGTGGTATATAGGTGTTTTATCTGTATTGTTGGATACAGCCAGCTGTAGTTGATTCTTATGGCTGAACTTTCAGATATCTACTGTGGACAGGTCTGTAGTGGGCTTAGTCTGGCCTGTGCTCAATCCAGTCAGATAAAATAATAAATGTTTTGGACTTTGCTAAAGCAGGGGACTTTGCTACTCCAGGGGGTGTTAAGCTTAGGCTGATAATGCCTCTTAAGAGCTTACAATGTCAGTGATGTGTCTGGACTTGAGAAGAGATTTTTCTAAAACTGACATTATGTGCATATCCTCCAGATCTGATTCTCATCTTAGTCGTGCTGGCGCAAAGACTGCACTGAAAGCATTTTGAGAGCTTGTGTCAGAAAGTGTGCTACAACCAGCAGTGCCTTAACTTAGCAGATGTTCGCTTTGATTCTGTGAATCACACAACTAATTTTTTTAAATTAAAAAAAGAAAGTGAATTCTGCGTTTAGCGCAAGTCTCGTTGCAAAGCTAAGCTTCAGAGCTTCAGTACTGCTGAAAATATGCCATGGAAATCTATGGGCGGTAACAACAGCAGGACATGGACGGTTGGATAGCTCATCAATATTATAATGTCACTGGTTAACAAAGCAGCATCTTATTAGTGTAATTGTGTTAATAAATTAAAGGTCTCTGCAGTGCCCTTTGTGCGGGTAGTCAGTCGGTGTTGTAAAGCATAGCTCTGTATATATTATTTCCTGTCTTGAATTCATAAATGTGTTGTCATAATTTCTTTCAACAGCTACAGGAGTTTTGTGTCTGAAGATGCAGGCCCAAACACACTGATTGCTACAGTTAATGCTGTTGACCCTGATGGAGATGGTGTGACATATGATATTGTATCTGGGAATCAAGAAGGAAACTTTGTCATTGACCCAAAGAAAGGTAATGATACAGTAGCTCTTCGCTGCTGCAGTCCTAACGTTGATTCTGATGTGATGCAGCTTGAATTTGGTCTTCGTTAGGTAGCAGTTATAAAAACTGAATAGCAGCTCCCAAGGCATGAGGCAGAGGCCACAGACAAGGCTTGTGACAACTAACTGTCTGATCCAAGGGTAGCTGGCTGCATCATGTCAGAGCTGGCCTTCAGCACTGGCAGCCAAACCTGGGGAGCAGGAGGAAGGGTGTGCAAGGCCTGCTGGTGTACTCAAAGCTTGACATCCACCTACTGCAATACTGTCGGTAATCAAATAGCCCTGTGAGGAGAAGAAACAGTAGGATGACAGTTCTGACTGAAATAGTTTTCTTTGTGCAACTTTTTCAATAACTCAGTTTTAACTGGTTTAAAGTGGACATTTGGGGTTTTAGATGAGGCTTTTCCCCCTGTGCTTATGTCTGTCCTGGTTACGCGTGTGTAGGCAAGCACTTCTTAGCCAAGTTTACTTGTGTTGTACTGACACAAAATGGTATCACCATTTGTAGGTGGAATGAGATTGACACTGTTTTATTTCAACGAAGGCAAAAGTATATAAAATATGAACTAAGTAAGTATATATTTCATTTAAGGACAAAATCATTCACGTGAGCAATGTTATTTAGCCAAGAATGAGAAGAAAGAAAATGTGTGGAGAATACTTTGCAGTTTAATTAATTTGTTCTGAAATACCAGTTGTCACATCTTTTTAAATTCTTTTTGACAGTCGTGTATTTTTAAAACGGTGAAGGAAAAAATCCCACAACATTGATGTCCTCATTTGAAAAAAAAAAAAAAAAGCACAAGCAGACATCATCTGAGTAGGCTGGCATATCCCTTTAAATTAATGGGGTTTATTTGCTGTTGATTGCTTGAACAAACAAAAGTTTAAACAAGTTTAACAAACAAGTTAAAGTAGTTTAACTGAAATTAACTAAGTTACTTCGATCCTTCAATGGGTTTTCAATTTGGTTGCCTGTTTCTGTCTCAATATTTAACTTGTTTTCAACTGCAATCGAAATCTGAACTTATATTTTTCAAAGCACAAGTGTTGAAAATGTAGGAAGGAATAAGGCGCCCCAAGTTATGCCTTCTCTTTATTTCACAGAGTTCACTTAGCATGAAATTTTAATGTCAGTGCTAATCACGTTTTTTGCAATATTAATGTTAGATTCTGAAATGTTCCCAAAACTGTGGTTTGCAGGTAACTTGCAAGTGTTGAACCATGATCCTGAATTTATTGAGAGCTCCTTTTAGGCTTTCTGACTTAAAAATACAGTTGTAGCTTCCAAGAGTTCAGTTTCTAAAAATACTTTGGCATCTGAAGAGGAACAATGGTTTTAAGTGTCTAATTGCCACAGAGGTACTATATCTGATGCTTCTGAAAATCTTTATTGTAAGTGCTCAAAGAATGTCAGATCTTTAATGTTTGATTGATAGCATCTCTTAGGAGTAGCTCCACAGTTTTAATGTAGATAATAGTGTATATACACGTTTATACTTTTTTACCAATTAATTTTTATAGTCTTTGAACCTTAATTTCAGAAACATTAAGATTTTTTTTTTTTTCAAAACACTTTCAGCCTTTTGTTGCTTAATAAACCAATAAAGGTTTATACAGTGGCTTTCAGCAGCTTCTTTTCAGAAGTGATGTCAGGGGAATAGTCTGTACCCTGTTGTCACAGAAATGCCAAGGTAAAGTGGAGATGTGTCGAAAATAAGTGCTGCAGCTAAAACAGTACATTTGCAAGCAAATTGAGTGACATCGATGCTGTGACAATACTCTGTTGTAATGACAATAGCTATTATGCCTGATGAATAACAGAGGTGATTGATGGATGATGGAGCAAAAGAATGACAGCTTCTTGCTGCGTGGTCTCAGGTAGCTGTAGTCTCTTTTGCTTTTGTAGCAAATCTTTCATACATCTTTCTCTAACAGTGCCTTTATGTCTTATCCAGCAGGGTGTATCATTTGGGTGACTTGGGAGAGTAGCAACATGCAGGTTTCTTAGGATATGCTATGATTGTGCTGCAGGAAGGTAAACTTGAACTAGTTTCAGCTGAACTAGCGTTCGTAGCTACAGCAGTAGATGTGGTGAGACATGCTTCATTGCCATAATGATACAGGAACATAGCCAGGCTCGCTGGTGGGGCAGCTGCAGGTAAAACAGAAGTCTGGCACAATATTTCTCTGTCTTTTTTTTTTTTTTTTTTTTTTTTTTTTACTGCAGCAGATAGACTAAAGCTAATATGTGCAGGTCAGCTGAGTTGTACCTCTTGTCTCATTTAGCTCTGCAGACAAACCAGCCTATTGTGCTGTCTTAATTTTGTTTTAATATCAGACAGCAGTAAAAATACCATAGTTTAGCAGCCTTGTGGTTTACTCATGAATAGGTAAACCAGAATGGTGTGTCGTCATGCTTACTAGTGAGAAGAATAACAGTAATTGGTTAATATAGTAAAAAAAAATTAAAATGCCACAACCTATTTTTGTTTTTACAGGGCTAGTTAGACTTCGTTCAAGTCCATTTCCTAAGCTGCAGGGGACAGAATATATACTTGATGTCACAGCTACTGATGATAATGCCTCTGGAGGGCCCCATTCTCTTACAAGTACTGCTCAGGTTGTTGTGAAAATTGATGATGTCAACAATAACAAACCTGTCTTTCAGAAGGTAAATATATGAGGCTGGGTCATTTGTATTAGACTGTGTGGTAAATGCTTAAGACAGTGTTGTTACTGCAAGTGACGCAGCAGATGAGCTAATCAGGAAGTGTTCCACTTTCGTCTCTCTCTGAGTCCTGGTGCCGCTGTCTCTCCATCTTTTCCATCCCTCTTCTAAGACTTACAGGGTTTGTTCTCCTCTTGTGGCAGAACAGCTCCTGTGAGCACTGTCTCTTGCTCGAACCACATCTCATTTTTGGCCTTTTAGAAGATGAGGTTGAGCGAACGACTTTTGGAGGTGCAGTGTGACATGTGAGGAGGAATTCATAAGTATAGCTATCTATGCAGTAGTCTTGTTCCAAAATGTTCCAAAATACCTCTCTAAATTACATAGGCTTCTTTTGATGATTGTGTGTCTGGAACTGTTGAAGGAGAAGAATTAAAAGTGGTTTAGCTTAATTTGTAAAGTAAGTAAATGCTTGAATGTGTTTTCAGGATGTATATATATGTATATATATATATGTATAATAATTCATATTAAAGATCTGTTGTCTAAAAATTTCAGGTTTGATGCTGATGGCTAAAATGTTGATGGGCAACGTTGCATGTTTTGAAAAATCAGTGACTATTCATGTCAGTCTTGGAAATTCTCAGTAATCTGTTGACAAAGTTCCTTTGTGTAGAAATCCCTTTCTGGCCAAAGCAATTCTGTGGTTTGGGCGAGTGTATGCCCTCTTTTTTATAAGACTTTTGCTAATCTAGAAATATATTTGCATTTGGAAGTATATGCAACTGTAACTTTTTCTCCAAATATTTTCATTAGTTGGAGATGCTCAGTGGTCTCATTGTGTGTGTTGTTTGTATAACTGCAAAATAGCAAGTGAAGCCTGTGAATTAATCGTGGTGCAGATAAAACAGTAACATTGGTGCGTATGAACGGAAATGTAGCTAAACCTTTTTTTTCTTTTTTTTTCACTCTAGTGTACGTTCAAATCAAATGTCATGGTAAGTCCTTAATTTTTCATTTTTTTCCTACTGTCTCTTAGTGTCAGTATTATCGGGAACATGCTTCTGTGTTGGAAAACCAGCCTTCAGGGACAGTTGTACTGCAGGTTGAAGCCACTGATGCTGATGAAGGAGCCAATGGTATGGTGAAATATGGCTTGATGCACAGAGATGGTGTCCTGCCAGCATTTAGTATTCATCCTGACACAGGTAAAGTGAATATCGGAACTGATACTGGCATATAGAAACCACTTTACTACACTGATGGAGAAAAAGCTTAAGTAAAATCAGCCTTCATGCTTTTTAATTTAGTTTTTTGACAGCAGACAAAATATAAACTGTATTAACTACATGAACAAATATTCTTTTAGTTTCATACATGTCCAGTACTGAACTAGAACTGATATTTTCCCTGAAATGTGGAAGTTCTGCTGTGTGAAATAACTTGTGTGGTTTTGTAACTGGATTTAAAAAAAACCCACGAGATTTTAAGTGCACATTATCTTGCAACATTGCTAATGGCATATAAATGATTTATCCAAATGACAGTAGTCTTACAAACAGCAAAGACACTAAGTCTTGGAAGGCCAAAACTAAATGCAGGCTGAACTTTTGGGGGATAAAAGACGTGAAACATGCCTTTACTCTGTAGTTACTGCTCTTCAAAATATTTTTTTTTTTATAGTTAGTTTGGTATTTATCTCCATTTTCTAAATTTAAGTCCAATTGTGTGTAGATAAAGTGTGTATGAATTTTGTATCTGCCTGAGCAGTACAGTTTAAGCTGTTGAAATTGCTAAATCTTGTGATTGGATCCTTGAACCTGAAGTTCACATTATAGGTGTATTTAATCTATTGCATTGTATCTCAGTGTGTTGACAGACAAACAAACATCTAAGTGTAGAATATTGTCAAATGCATAGTATTTTAACTCTCTGATATTTAATTTGTTTTCAGGAGTTCTGACAACTGTTCAGGTATTTGATCGAGAAAAACAGAGGGAATATCCTATCACTGTGACAGCAACAGATCAGGCAGCGGAACCACTCATTGGAATATGTCAGATAAATATTATCATCCTGGACCAAAATGACAATGATCCCAGATTTGAAAACACGCACTATGAATGTAATTGAGAGTCATTGGATAGAGTTTCGGTGCCCTGAGTGTGAGCTTACCTGATGTCTAAGATTTTTGGGTTTTGTCTTTCCTGGCAGTAGATCATGTGGCCAGCTAGGTGATGGCAGCCAGAGACACACTTCCCTTAATGAGTTGCAGAATTGTTACTCTGTGTAATGTGTAATCCTGAGTGTCATTATGGGAAAATACCTTGAAACAATAGCCAGCCAGTATCTGTCCTTACCTGAGTATACCAGGTGTCTGTGGTACCACACAGAGATGTGAAAGTTGTAATAAGAATGTGAGCGTGCAGCGCTGAGCGCTAGTTGTATCCTTTGTTTTCTGATTTTTGTCGTAACTTTTGATTACTTACTTTTCCCATTTGAGTTTCGTAATTCTTCATTAGTTTTTGTTTTACCTTTTCTTCTTGGTTCTTCAAAAACCCCTTCCTGTTTATGGATAAACACCCAAAGGCGTGCATAGTATTCATTAGTGAAATGAAAACTGGTAATTCTCTGTTAGCTATACTATGCAAATCCTAGAAAGTAGTTTCCGACAATGTGGTCCTTTTCTTCTGTTTTTATGCAATAAATGAAAATTCCGTTTATGTATCTTTCATACAGAGCAATTGTCCCTTAATAAAAATACAAGACAAAAAAAATAGTAATATCTTATGAGAAATGAGCGTTCCAAGTTCTGAATGTGATAATACGAAGTTCAAATGTGATCCATATCTCTGGAGTGATAGCAGCTCTTTAAAATACTCAGTTTGATTTTTATGGCCGTTATTCCAAGGAAGATAAAGTTATAGCTTCTATACATTATTACTTTAGTATTTCTTCGTTTCTTAGTAAGATGTTCATGGTATTTTAGTGAATTAATGTTTGAAATATCCTTTCCTTACGTTAGATTTCCTGAGAGAGGACACAAGAGTTGGGACCAGCTTTCTTCGTGTTGCAGCCCATGATGATGACTACAGCTCAAATGCTGCCATTACATACCTGATGGCAAACGAAGAACCAAATTATTTACAAATTAATCCTACTACAGGCTGGGTGTTTGTGAACCAGCCCATATCTCAGGTGTGGCACATGCTTTCCTATTTAAGGTGGCTATCTTGGTGTATCATAGGAGGGACTGAGGTCACAAGTTTATGTTACCCCTTCACGTTAAAGGATCAATATGCCATGTTTAAATTAAATGTGAGTCTTAAGGCTTTTAGCTGATGAGTTCATTGACTGTGAATTGCATGTAAGCAAGCCCTGCTTGCAGTTGGAAAGTAGCAGCTGACAGCGCTGCCTCTGAGAACTCGTTCTTCCCATTTCATTAACTTTGGCATGCTAATACAAAGGACTGGAGGGCTGAGACCATAAGCACGGGAGCAAGAACCCAGGTTAACAGGCAATGAGTTAAGACACAAACCTGAATGTGAAAGAGCGTGAAGTTTTTCTTCTGATACAGATTCCCAACTTGATACATGTTAGTCATGGTGGGCTAAACATAGCGATCACTCAGGAAGGTGAAGGCATAATGAACTCTTAAATAAAACTATGCATGTAGTTAACTAAAATTTCCCAGTTTCAGCCATTTCTAAATACCTGCATAAGCAGTTTGATGTTTTCGGAGTTGTAAAGTAATTTCTGTTGAAATGAAAGTACTGTTGTAGATGTCAGTCTTCAAACTTCTAAGTAACTGACACACAAAACTTTAATGAAGATGTATCCTTTTAATAATTTTTCTTTATTGAATATAAGAACCCTATAGACCTAGTAACAAAAACTGTTGATAGGTAAGCTTAAGAACTCAGGGGGTCCACAAAGTGGGGTTTTTCGGTTTTGTTTTAAAATTTGTGTGAAATAGCAAGGTTTATTGAGACAAATAGCAACATTTCCCAACAATCTTAAGTAAAGAAATTAGCAGAATTTTCAGCAACCTTGCACCTCCTCCGTACTCTGAGCTCAGTATTCTGCAGTTGTGGATGTTTTTCTTCTGTGCAAGTTTTTTTGAGTATGCCTTTAATTTTATGTATGTATTTAATTTAAAAAAAAAAATCTTATTGGACCCCTGATCAAAGCCCTCTGTAACGAAACCTTTTTTACTGCTCAGAGGTCATCTATAATTCGAGAGATTATTGCTACAGATGGAGGTAATAGGAGCAGTAAAGTTGAACTTGTGGTAACTGTTACCAGTGCAAAAAACCAGCCTCCACAGTGGGAAAGAGACAGCTATGAAGTTGTTATTCCAGAGAATACTACACGAGATGCGTCAGTTTTGGTAAGGTTGAGACAGACTTGTTTGTCTGTCTATCACTCTAAGGCTGTGGTGTTACTGGATGTTACTTGTTTGCTTCAGTATAGTGAGCTTTTATAACGATTTTGCGTATTGTAGGGAACAATGATCTGCTATCAGTTTTCTTCCAGAAATGCTAACAGTAACTAGCATTTTTGCTCTAATTTATATGTGTGCAACCATTATTTTAATTTCCTTCCCATTTGGACAACACTATAGGTGTTCCAGTGTTCTGAATGCTTCTGTGTTATGCAGGGTGATTATTTGGCTTAAATACTTAGAATCATTCAGTTTGATTACTTGGAATGAGTAATCGTAACAGCTTTATGAAATAACTCCGAAATACGTATTTTTAGGATGAAAACGTGAGTAAGCAAGCGTGCAATGACTGGTAACCTTTGGCTGCAGCTGTTTGCTGCCTGGAGATGTATCAGACAGGGTTAAGATTTGGTATCAGGAAGTACTTGTCTTAGTGTTTTCAGTTGAGAGCTGAAGATCTGGGAGAGTCAATACACAAAAGCTTTTAGAAATGTTGCTGTACTTACGAAAGTGTTATTATGCAATTTTTTTGAACTCGGTAGACAATCAAAGCAACTTCTCCCCTTGGTGATCCCCGTGTGACTTACAACCTAGAAGAGGGACTTGTTCCGGAGACCAACATGCCAGTTCGTTTCTACCTGACTCCAAACAGACATGATGGTTCTGCTTCAATCCTCGTAGCTGAGCCACTAGATTATGAAACAACAAAGAGCTTTCTGCTGAGGGTTCGAGCCCAGAACGTTGCTGCAGTTCCTCTGGCAGCATTTGCTACAGTCTATATTAATGTAACAGGTGTGTAAGCTGTTCATGATACTGTAGTATAATCGTAGTACATTTTTTTCCCTTTAAAGTTTTATAGTTTTCTCTTTATGCTCTCTTTTTAATTTTTTAGATGTCAATGACAATGTCCCATTCTTCACTTCATCTATTTATGAAGCCTCGGTAATAGAGGGAGCTGATGTTGGGACATTTGTCGTTCAAGTGTCTGCCACCGACCTTGACCTTGGTGAGAATGGTGAGGTAAGCAAGTGGGGACCTACATCTTCCGTGATGAAAGGTATGGAATAACTTCTATGTGAACAATGGCTAAATAGACTAGAAGTCTTCAACCTAAAAAAGAGATGACTAATAGGGAAACATGAGGTGAAATAAAGTAGTTATTTACATGTTTTTCTGCCTTGCCATGTGAAGAATGCAACTAAAACTAGTAAGTGTGAGACAGAAAACAAGAAATATTTGTACAACCTGTAGATCAGGTGAAAAACGTGTTATAGAATGCTCTGGTTTGGAAAGGTCTACATAGACCTAAAATGTGTTTGGATAAATTAATGGAGCAAAAAATGTGTTAAAAGCTTCTGTGAGTTGTAAATTATTGGGGGTGCTGAAAACTGAATCCTTACAAAGTAAGTCAAGCTAGCACCAAAAGTGGATGTTTCGATTACTAATTTTAAAAATTTAAAGTAGATCTCTCCTTAGAACAAGAGTGCAAGCTAAGGTCAAGTGGATGAAAACATGTATATAATAGAGAGTAGAACATGGTCCATGATACTGAGCAAGTTCAAATTCAGCTCACCTGTGGCTGTTATAGTAGTACCTGGGATCTTTAGCTGAGTTTGAGTGCTGTGGCTCAAGCACCATGCAAATGTGAACTAGAGAACCTGGGAACTGATTAGACAAGACATTTATTTCCTTTACAGATCAGCCGTCAACACGGAAGGAGGTTAATTGACTTTGAACTAGATTGCTCAAGCTGGCAGTTTTACATGGCTTTCTTGGCCCTGATCAGGTTCTCCAACACAAGACTGTTCTTCCTCTCTTTAAGTAATTATATAGTTGTGAACTGTCCAACAAAGGGAAAGTATAGATTAACATCTTTTTAATCCTTTAGATAACTTACTCCCTGTTGCACGACAGTGGCAGAGACTACACGTATTTCCGCTTGGACTCACAGACAGGCTCAATATACACTGCCTCAGTGTTTGATAGAGAGAAGAAGGGGTCCTATCTTCTAGAAGTCAAGTCAGTAGATGGCTCTGAATCAGCTCGACCAGGAAAACATGGGAAGCCAAACTCTGGTAATAGATACATGTCTGTCGCAAGCGTGATTTTGCCTGGATTGGTCTCTGAAAACAAGATTAAATGTTAATTTCCTTTTTTTCAAGTGTACTTGTGAAAGTGTCAGTTGTTTTGGTTGTTTTTTTTCTGTTTGTCTGTGCAACAGTTGTGTCAGAGATATTTTATATGATGATCAGGCAAGTTTTTTGTTCTGAAATGAAAACTAAGTCTTCATAGTTATAGAGTATTTCCTAGCTAGCAAAGATGTACCCATTATCTGTAGGATGCAGGTCTTTCAGTAGTGGAGGTGTTTCCCAAAGCACTGCATATGGTACTATATTCAGTCAAGAGTGATTATGAAGTATGAAGCAGGAAAGTTCAAGATAGAAAAGCCCATTCTCAATTGATGGCTGTCCTTAAATAAAGACTTTAAAATTGGCTTTTGTGACTTCAGGACAAAAAGTTATGACTAAAAACTGTACAATTGCTGTATTAGGCAGCAGTTATTCACATATTATCTGTTTAAACAAATTGGATGTGACGTTCATTTGATATCCGAGTGCTTTTGAGTAATATTGGTGTATATATTGTCCACAACCCTAAGGGTTTGTTTCTGTATTGTCTGCATATTCGTCTTCATTTAATGTGCAGCTAGACAGTTTAAGGAATTGTAGCTGACAGAAGTGGCACAGCTGAGTATTTTAATCTCTTGTTTCTTGTCTCTCTAGACACAGCCTACGTGCGCATTTTTATCAGTGATGTGAATGATAACAAGCCTGTCTTCACTCAGAGTGTCTATGAAGTAGATGTGGATGAAGACCAGGATGTTGGCTCAACTATCATTACAGTCAGTGCTAATGATGAAGATGAAGGTAAAGTATTGGAATTCTCCATAGCTGTGTTGAAAATATTAATGAGTTAATTTCACCACACCAAGACATATTTAATGGTGTTAGAAGGGAAAATGTCTTTTTGTCTGTAGATTTTGAAACTTCTTTAAGTGTGAACTGATTTGGCATGAACATTAGTTCATTATGGAGCTGCGAGACATAAGTCAAATAACTCTTATTTTGGGAGGCAAGGCATTAGTGTGGGATGGTGGGGAATAATTTCTGTGTCAGCAAATACAAATTTATTGTAGATCGTATAATTTTCTTACAAATGGGGGCCAATAAAAATGTCCTGGTTAACTAGAATGAATCAGGCTTGATTTCAGTGAGATTCATGTGCTTTCTCTATGGACAGTATAGTTCTATTGTTCTTTATTTTTTTTGGGTACACATTTTTATCTTTGAAACTGTACTTCCTAAATGCATGTGATGAGTCTTGGCTATATTGCTTTATTTGCAAATCAGTCAGGAATTCAACCGTAAGTCATGTGAAAATAAGCAAATAACCAGTGCTCATAAATCGAAGAGGGGAGAGTACAGAGTTATGTCTTTTTGGCCATGGCGCACAACTAATTTGACTTTGCTGTATGGTGAAACAGCACTTTTTTGTTGCACAAGTTGCAAAGGACTGTTCTGTCAGCATGTCTGTGAAGTGCAAGTACATCCTGGCTGCATTTGATTCCTCACCCACTCCAAGAGGTTGAGGCAAATGTGGCTAAGTTGTACTGAAGAAGGATTTACCTACTCGAGGAACTTTCAGTTTATTACATAGAGATGGCCTGTAAATCTGCTCTGTAGTGTTGGATCGGGGACCTGATGTGATGGATATATGGCATTTCATTTCTGTCCTCCTAATGAAGAAATTATTAAAGATGTAGCTGTGAAAGAAGGGAAGAAGAGAAGAATGGTAATGTGAAGGTAGAGCTTGCAGAAAGGCTAAAAGTCTTTACTTGATGTAAAACCATTGGCAAGTTGGTACCGCGTCTGAAGTTTTGAGAAGTTGTGTTAGGGCTGACTCCTCTGGCTTGATATGTAATTATCCTGTCTGTTGGTAAAGTCTATGCATAGATTAATGTGAGTGCAGAATGTTTCTCTCGTATGGAGTATTTTATGATAACTCATTCTTACATGCTGGGTGTTAGCAAATAAGAACTTGTCCCATAGCCTTGGCCAGTCATAATGATCCTTCAGTGAATTTGAGGGATCATAAGTTAAAGCAAAATTAACGCTTCATTGCAAAGACATGTTTTATAATTAGACATAAATGACAATTGGACGTACCAGAATTGAAAATGCTGATAAGTCATCTGACATAGCTGCGTGTCTTGAAAGATCACAAAACTATAATGCCAAAATCAGTTATCATATGATTTGTACTTCATCTTAACATCCCATGTTTTAATCTACTTCAAGAAATGTGTGTTTTCTGACACTGTTGGTAATTGACAGGAACAAATGCTAAATTACGGTATCAGATCACAGCTGGAAACACAGGAGGAGTACTTGATGTAGAACCAGAAACAGGAGCCATTTTTATTACCCAACCACTGGATTATGAAGAAACAAAAATGTATGAGATTCACTTGTTGGCCTCTGATGGGAAATGGGAAGATTATGCAGTTATCATCATCAATGTCATGAATAAAAATGATGAGACTCCAGTTTTCTCTATCAATGAATACTATGGAAGTATAATTGAGGAACTGGATGGGTTACCAGTCTTTGTACTTCAGGTAGTGTATGCAGTTTTAGAGATTATAATAGTTCAATGAAAGAGCACAGATTACTCTGGTACAATTATTTTAATAATAATCCAGCACAGATATATTAATGAAACGTAACTTTACTAAGGTTTTTTTGTCAGTGGATGAAGAGAAATGGACTTTTATGGAAAAATAATTACAAAGATAGTAAGTAGGATAAGCAGGATGGATCATTTGTGATCCTAAAAAGCAAATAATTAACATTTTAGAGTAGCTATCAGAATAGCGCAATTAAATTACCTCTGTGAATATGAAAAAAAATATTATTTTAGTATTTGAATGTCTACATCGTTATTGCAGTGCAAAGCGTATTTATCTACTCTGAATTGTCCTCAGCCACCTCTCCTTTGCATCCATCTGGCATGCACCTATTAAGAACACGTCATATACTTTTGTTTGGACTCCTTTAGACTGTAGCAGCATATAGGATATAATGCAGTCATTGCATATTTTGTAATTTCTATGTCTTTGTTTTCAAAACTTTTGTAGGTTATGGCGAATGATCCTGATAGTAATGTGGATGAAGGAGATTTGAGATACTCATTGCACGGGCATGGTGCAGCTGATATTTTCACAATAGATGAGAAAACGGGCAGCATTTACTCACACAAGGTGCTGGATCGGGAAGAGAGAGCGCTGTGGAGATTTGTTGTATTGGCTACTGATGAAGGTGGAGAAGGACTTACAGGATTTGCTGATGTAATCATTAACGTGTGGGATATAAATGACAACGCACCCATTTTCACGTGCATGCCTGATAATTGCAATGGGAGTGTCTTTGAAAATTCTCCTGCAGACACATTAGTCATGGAAATGGGTGCAGTTGATCGTGATGATCCAAATGTAGGTCTTAATGCTGTCCTGACTTACAGGATAACAGAAAATGTAAAAAACGAGTTTGGTACTGACATGTTTCATATCAATCCCAGTACTGGTACAATCCACGTAGCGGGGGGAATGCTAGACAGAGAAAGGACTGACAATTACTTTCTTACTGTTGAAGCAAGAGATGGGGGAGGACTAACAGGAACTGGCACTGCCACTATCTGGATTGCAGACGTCAATGATCATGTACCTAAATTCACAAAAGAGATGTGGCAGGCGACGATTCCTGAAAACAGTCCCGTCAACTCAGAAGTTCTGCAAGTGTGTGCTACAGACGCAGATGTTGGGGACAATGCTGACTTAATATTCAGTATCATCGGGGGAGACCCAGATCAGAAGTTTTATATTGAGAACGACAAAGAATGGCAATGTGCCACTATTCGACTGAAAAAAAAATTGGATTTTGAGAATGCACGTGAAAGGCAGTTTAATGTTACTATTACAGTGGAAGATCTTGATTTTTCTAGTATTGCTGTGTGCCTGATTGAAGTTGAAGACTCTAATGACCACAGCCCAGTTTTCCTTTCTCAGTTTATTCCAACAAGCCCTTTCTTTGAAAACATGCCTGTAGGTACTACAGTAACCACAGTGAGAGCTACAGACAAGGATTCTGGTTTGAATGGGAACATTATATATTCTATAAAGTCAGATTCGGATCCTATGAGACAGTTTGCGGTTGACCAGTATGGTCACGTGATTGTGGCAAACAAGCTAGATCGTGAAGTCATTCAAAAATACAGTTTAGTTGTACAAGCTTCAGATCAAGGGACACCTGCTGGCACTGGAAGTGTTACAGTTTTGATTGACTTGCTTGATGTAAATGACAATGGACCAAGGTTTGAGGCACCATACATGCCTGTAGTTTGGGAAAATATACTGGGGCCTGAAATAGTATATATGAACCAGACATCAAAACTGCTTCATGCATTTGATCCGGACAGTGAGGAAAATGGGCCACCCTTTACATTTTCATTGCCACCAGATTATCAGAATTCTTTGGATTTTTCTCTTACTGACAACAGAAATAACACAGCAACTGTAACTGCTTTGAGGTCCTTTGACAGAGAAGAGCAGAAGGTGTTTCATCTGCCAGTAGTTATAACTGATAGTGGGATTCCAGCTATGAGCTCTACAAACACCCTAACTATAACAATTGGTGATGAAAACGACAACTGCCATGAACCTGGCCATAAGGAGGTTTATGTGTACAGTTACAAAGGTAAGTGCTATCTGGATATTATAACAGATTGATGAATATAGCAGTCTTACACATAATTTCTCTCTTTCATTTCTTAGTTTATTTTTTAAACGATTTCCATATTTCGAAACTGAAACTCCAATTCTGTAAACTACTAAATAAAGTGGAATGAGTAAAGTATATTTACAAAGTTCAGACCTAGTGTGTAAAAGTCATCTACCAAAAAACTGTTAGCTGCTGACAAGTATATATTGCACTTGCAGAAAACCCAGTATTTTTATAAACCAATAAAGTCTATTTTCCATTCACTAGTTTTCACTTACACAGAGGAAATGTTTTTTCTGTGATTTGGAAAGTATATCTGATGCTGAGAGATCTGGAGATGAGAATGGCAGAACTGAAGCAACTTAGAGAAACAGAGGTTCATAGATGAGCCCTACCCAGAAACCGTAGACCAGTCCCACCTCCACTGTGACAACAACCACTGTATGGCTGAGCAGGATAGAACTCTTGTGGAGGGAGGTTTTCTGCTGGCAGAAAAGAATCCGAGAGAAGGCTGGGTCAGTGCTTTTTTAGGAAAAGAGTAGTCTTTGGGGTGCAATAAATGACTGCTTCCTATAACATGTAGTCTTTAAACAGGAAAAAACAAACAAAACAAAAACAAAACCCAAAAAAGATGCCGTTCTGGATGTGTTCTTGGGTGGTGCACAGTGCCTAGTTCAAGAAATACTGCAGGAGAGCTGCTCTGTGATAGCAGCCACACTACTATGAGGTTTAATGTTGTAGTGGGAGACAGCAGAGCAAATGCATCCATTAAGTGAATGCTTTATGTTTTCTCATCAGAGTGGTTTAGCAGAGGATGAACAGTTTAATAATATTTTCTAAAATTTGTCTTGAATTTCTATTACATTGTTTTTCCAGAAATTACCTGTAAAACTTGACCTTAAGCTAGTCCTGGTGACCCTTATCAAGCATGGTTTATTGCAGCTTATTATTCCTCAAATATTCCATTCCAGATAGATGTGGCTATATCTCAGTTACCATTGTAATGGTAGAATTTTTGATAAATATTAGAGAAGATTTATCTATAGAAGGTATTTTTGCAATGAGTTTTCTTTGCTGAATTCAGTATGCCTAAATTAGAAAAAGATGTGACCAGATCCTACTGTAGAAATGAGAATGAAGTTTCTATGGTGGATTTGCTCCAGTTTTGAACCTTAAAAATTTCCTTTATTGCTGGATTTTGGCTGTGGAATCCAAAGGTCTGCTTCCCTGGAATTGCTCCTTTTGCTTATTTTTGAACAGCTGCTTGGATGTTCCACTGCTGTGATAGCCCACAGGGGCCTGAAAAAAGGGCCAAGAACTGGCACAGCTTGGTGGCTTCTTGCCCATTTCCTTTTCTCAGTCATGTCCTTCTCTCCCAGCTGCACCCCACCAAATACTCTCCCTCTGTTTCTGGATTCCGCTTGGGTGCTGTTTGAAATAATAGAGTAGCAATGAAACATTTGGGGATTAACTCCTGATGTGGTGGGTTTTTTTCCTTTTTGTTTGAGAATTCTATATAGAGTTGTACCTATGTATCGTTCTGTTGTTTTGTGGTGTTTTCAGCTTTTGTTCTTTCATGTGACATCCATAATGTACTCGCATTTCCAGAACTGGCAGAAATCATAGGACAGGCTATGCATTATTTTAAGAATGTTGGATCTTAACCATCACCAAATTGAGCAGGAATCTGAAAATAATAAATGCAGTAATGAATGTGGCAGAATATAAAGTGCACTGAAAAGCAAAAATTAAATGCAGATTTATTATAATTTATCTCAACAGGAAAATGGTCAACAATAGTGCTTGGGGAAGTGTTTGCACCAGATCAAGATGACTGGGACAATAAAACATTTCTCTCTGAAGGAAAACTGCTCAAGTGAGGATTGTATTTGTGTCAAAATGAGTAATATTTATGCTTCTGTAATTATTTTACTCACCATGCGTTTCTCTGTGTTCAGGATGTGCATAAAGCCAGGGTTATTGAGTGTATTAAGGAATGTACCTTCTGAATGCTCTTTTTGCTTTTCACCTCGGTAGCTAGGTATGAAGAAATTAAGGCATGGAATTTTTTTTTCCAAGACAATGCAGGATCACACCATGATGTTGATTTTTAGACAGATGTCATCATTAATTTATTTTAAAATAAATGTGTGTTCTGAAAGATCCAGTGTAAAAATAGGCAGAGTTTTTAGTACTTGCTCTCAAATGTTAGGGTCGATGGAATACAAATCTCAAATTTAAAAGGGCAGAATGGAATAATTTCATCAAAAGTGGAACGGAATTTGGTGATCTCCTTGGATGGCTAAATTTACAATTGCGTGTGAAAACCGTGAATCAGATGAGTGGAGTTTTTTCTATTAACTGAAATGTTGAATTAGATCCTTAATCCCTACTTACACATTATTTGTTCACATCATAAAGCGAGATGGCTTATAGCATAATTGTATGCTGTTTGAAATACAGAAAATGGATGTGTAAACGAATATGAATTGTTGTCTCTGCTGCAAATAAGAGTTTAAAAGCTTTACATAGCTCAAAATCTAAAACTGAATTTCTGTCCTTCAGCAGCCTCTGGGCCTGTTCCCATATTAAGAGGTTGCTGTTCTATAATAGTGGTCATGGAATATTTCCATAATTACTGATTATTGTCCCTTCGAGGTGGCAAATGAAGATGTTACCAGAGATTTCATACAGACCTTATCCTGTTCCAGATGGATAAACGAGAATCTGGAATGACTTGGTGTGGTTTTGTCACTTTCTGTAACTTACCTCGTAGACCTACCTGTGCTGACTGTCGAACTCCATGGTTCAACTACACACTGCTTTTATTCAAGTTTGGGAAAGGCTGGGGATTTGGGAGTGGCGGAAACATCTTTTTATAAGCTCTTGAAGGTTGTAATTTCTGAATTAAGGTGTTTCTGGTGCTTTTCTGAGATTGTTTGCTAATTCCCCTAAGATCCTGTAACCTTCATAGTAACATTTAAGGCCTTCTGAATTATGTTGATGAATAAAGTGCTCAATTTTGATTTATTAAGGTTTCCTAATTGAAGGTTTCTGTCTAGGACTTTCAGATTAAATCAGAGGACTGGTTCTTTGATGATGGTAGATAACACACCTCAAGGAATATACAACTTAAAAGTTAGAGTTTCTGATGGAGTTTGTCCTGATGTTATATCTACGGTACAAGTCCATGTCAAAGAGCTGGAAAATGAAGCCATACAAAACTCAGCCACTGTGCGTCTATCAGGTTAGTTTTGTTTGCTGGTGACAATTTAGATCAGCTGCATCTATAACTGAATCATTATGTGATGTAGGTATTATTATATCAATACTTCATTTACTTATCACTGTCGGGCACTTTCCAGTATGTTTCCATATTGTTAAATAAGAAATAAATTGAGAAATTAACCTGTGGTCTCCCAGTATTTCCTGTTTATCTCTTTTTGAATCCCAAACTCAGATGTCACAGCAGAGGAGTTCATAAGGAGAGATGAACACGGCAAAACAAGACATGGCAAGTTCAAGGAATTACTAGCAAAAATGTTACCTGCTAAGCTTAGTGATATCATTGTCTTCAGTGTGATGAACACCCATGGAAAACAGACAGATGTAAGATTTGCAGTCCATGATGGCTCGGCATATTACAGACCTGAGAAGCTGCATGCTGAGATGGCAGCATTTAAAAATGAGGTATGTTCTCTGAGGCTATCGTGCATCTATGTAATTCACCCAGATAATGAGTTTGCGTGGTACATATCGTAAACCTCAGTGGAATAATGTGCTAGATCTAGAGATAAGGGGTTTTTCCTTCACTGAGGACAAAACTACTTGTTGAGCAAGTGCTTAATTCAGGCTTTCTCCCTTCTTCTTAGTCCCATCCATACAATTATTATATGGTTGTACTGACTTCTGGTTCAATAAATATAACCAATATAACCAGTCACAGAAAGATGATTCTCCATTCCCATTGTGGTACAGTTGCCCGTGTTTTCTCCAGTCAGTGTTTCATTGCATAATCTGTCAGACTTTTGAATATGAAATCAGAAGAATCCCTAGAAGCTAAAGTGGTACTGTAGTACAGAGAATGTCTTGAAAATGACAGCTTTTTGGATGTTCCGGATGCTGATGGAAATACCCAAATCATCAGCTTGTGGTTAGACACTTAAGTAGAGGCTTGATGCCACCCAGATGGAGATTCTGCTGTACAAAGAGATGATACTCCATAGAAAAAATCCTGCTGGAAGGAGTATGCAGGTTAGAAGAACAGTTACAACAGATAAGTGAGATGGAGACAACCAATTTGGTGATTGTATTTAACTACCAAAGGACAGCTTTAAATACAAAGTGACACCCTCCCCCAACTTCTTTTACTGTTACAAGGGGAAATTAGTTTTTGAATGTAAGATGTTTTCTTCCCCTTCCTGGTGTTCCCTAACTGTCCTACTCTCTTACCAGTTCCTGCGTGCCCCTAGCTCAGTTACCCAGACACAGTCTGTCTTGACCCCACTTCTGTTTTTTGTAGTCCTCCAGATTTTGGCTTTGCTGAAGTCCTGCAGTGCTGCTGAACAGACATTAAAGCTGCTGTCTTGCACCAAGGCAAGATGCCACTGTTCGGCTTGTAACTTGCCCTGGGCAAGGCAGCGCTTCTGACATGTCATTTGTGGCTACAGGGGTGTATTTGGGTTTAATACATGGTACCTTTATGGAGGAGTTTGCCTGGAGAGTAAACAGTGCTTCCCGTTTGTGTGAATATGGTAGGGTCTGTCTGATTTTGGGGACCAAACAGGAGTATCTTAACTTACCACCTGCCTACATCTTACTGTATCTTGAAGATTCAGAGTGACCAAATAGGACAGATAGTATTTGTGAAGCATAGTGACTGCTTCTTTTGCATATTTATTGAATTACTGCAACAATAATGTAGAAAATTGCATATATTTCAAATATTATGTGCCATAATATGTAGCAGGTGAATTGATCATAGTGGTAACAAGGGGATTGCTTCACATATTTTAATAAAAAAATAGCTTGTGTCAATTATGTATCACCTTTCAATATTTAATGAATAGCTCTAGTGAGTAATCACCAATGGTTTACAGAAAACCAATCGTAGCTGGAGAATTTCTCCAGTAGTTTTTGTACATGTGTTTAACTATAAATATAGAAAATAAGTAATTAGCACTGGAATTATTCATTGAATTGCTAAATAAATAATATGTTTGCATTAGCTCCTTGGGATATAGCTTTACAACAAATGTTTTTTATTCAACAGAAAAATAATCCATTCTAATACTGTAAAGGAGCCGGGGTTGTTTATATACACTGTGTTTTTCTATAACAATATTACCTAGCTGTCTAAATGTGCGTTATAGACTCTCCACTAATGGTGATAGATGTGGGCAGCAGACACGAAACTGCGTTGACAGGATGCATCATGTCATTACGAAGTGTATTTTGTGCCTTTGGGGACATGTTTTTCAATACATGTTACAATATTTGAGGATATACTGACAATTGATTATAAAGGTCAAAGTTCTTACAGTGGTGAATTGAGATGACTGCACAAGTGAAAAAAAAAAAAAGGAAGCACTTCAGTATTTATGTATTTGTTTTGATTTTTCAAATCTTATTTTTAAGATACTTGTCATACATTTTATAATTTGAAAAAAATATTAAATGTATAAATAAAAATACTTTAAGTCAGATCTAATGTTTTTGGTTTTACATTTTTAGAAAATACTGCTGCTGTAATTTTTTTCAAAGTTTTTCCTGCATTTGTCAAATCATTTTGCTTGCCTGTATAGTCAGGGGTGTTACTCAACAAACGAAAGAATTCCATTAAGGCTATGATGGCTTAGATTTTTCAGAAATTAAGGAGTAAGTAAAAGCATTCATTAGGACTAGACTGGTGATGTGTTAAACTGTATTTTCTCTTAGATCCAGTCAGCTTTACAACTGAACATTTCGCAGATCGATGTAGATGAATGTAGGAGCGCAAACTGTACTGAGGGCAGCGGTTGTACAAACCACCTCGCCGTGAGTGACATCCCAACAGTGATGGATACCGGAAGCGTGTCATTTGTCTCGGTGACAACCACCGTCAGTGCAGTCTGCACCTGTGCAGCGAGGGACCGAGTTCATCAGTCTTGTTCTTCTTACCCTCGAAGCCCGTGTCTCAATGGTGGGATGTGTATTGACACTTTGAATGGTTACAGGTGAGGAAACCTGTTGTGCAGGTTCTGTTACAATTTTTTTTTTCCTTCCTATTTTTAAAGTGTCAAGTGGAGCTTACAAGATACAGGTCAAAAAAAATGATAAATGTACTTCTGACTGAAGGAGAAACAAAAAAGCCCCATGAGTGCCCTGAAGTGTAAACCTAATGACAACAGGGTCTTTACTAATGGCCCAATAATGGTGGTGTAGTTCTGAAAGCAGTGGAAATAGTGTGCAAGTAAGAAAGAAAACTCTGGGGAAAAAACAGAGATATAATTAACGTGTCATTTTTTAAGAGCACCGATTTCAGTGTGAAGGAATGGGAACTGGGTTCTGGTTGGTGGTTTTTTTTTTCTTTTCCAGAGGAGTAATAATAAAGGTGAATATCAGTGGTAGCAGCAGGGATGTAGAGGGAGTGAAATGTAGTTCAAACAGTGGGTAATAAGGAGCTTAGAAAACATTAGATAGGAAACTTGCTTTATTATTGCATTACCTGGTGCGCACCAGTGTTCCTTTAGTGAAATTATACTGATTTCTTCTAGCTAGTAATTAATCTGCCTGAGCTTTCTCTGTAATAAATCGATCAATCGATGTTTGGTGTTCTGTGTTACTTGTTTAGGGAAATAATTCATTGTTCTCAAAAACGTGGTCTCAAAAATACTTTTTTTGATGGCGGTAGTATAGTGGATAAATACGCTTTGTACTTTCACAGGGTTTTAATAATTGCCCAGCACCCCTGAGCCTCTGCTAAAATCTTTCACTGCTGTTCTTTTCACTGTGATGCAAGTGCTACATTTGTTGCATGTAAAACAAAAAAAAAGTTGAACATTGGGGAATTTTGACTATTTTTTTCTGTTTGTGCTGCTCTTTCAGATGTCTTTGTCCTGCTTCATTTCATGGACCAGACTGCCAGCAGACTAAGCACAGTTTCCATGGAAATGGTTATGCATGGTTTCGTCCCATCAGGCCTTGTTTTGAAAGCTCACTCTCCCTGGAGTTTATTACTGTGGTTCCAGATGGTCTTCTACTATATAGTGGTCCTTTATCACATCCAGAACCTGGGAGTACAGAAAACTTCATTGCAATAGGTACTTCTGCAAAAGTGTGTGAAAAAATTCAGTGTCTTTTGGGAGCGAGTTGCTTGTGAACAGTGTAGTAGTTAGAGTAGGAGTTCTGTCTTTCCATCTTATGAGATAATTTATTTTCTGGTTTGAAGATAGTTTGAAACATTTCCTAATAGGTCTGTCTTCTTTGATGTCTATTTTTGTAGCCGACACCTATGGCTTTAGGTCCATCTCAGAGTTGTAGAAACAGACAGATTGATATATACAAAAAATAATCCCCCTAGGAAAACTGTAGTGCTGTAAAGGAATTTAGGTACTTTGAAGATAGGTATTACATGATTAATGCAGTCTTAGTTGCATGTCCTTCTGATCTAGTTTTGTGAGGAAAGAAATCCACTTAAACTGCTTTCAGTCTCAGGGCATTTTTGCGCTTCTTTTTAAACAGGCAGTGATTTGATGGATGAATCCGGCCCTAGCGTGCCACTGTAGGAAAATTTATACACAGATAGAACACATTGCTTTATGTTGACACATGTTTAAAAGGTTACTACTGCTTATTTTTTGTGAGTTAACATACAAGATGCACAGTATGGTTGGCATTTTATATTTTCCTAATTACTTGAAAGGTACTGTTGCTGGGTATTGTTAATGGTTTACCTCTTTTTTGCTTTGTTTTGCAGTTACTTGTAAATTTGAGTAGAAGATGGGAGGGAGTAGACCTGCATGTGTTAATTCTTTTAGAGCATTATAAAATTGCAGATTGCTTATCAGGAATTAGTTTCAGTGCTTTGACAGTAAAGTGGCACAATCTAAAGTATAAAAATAAGTACTACATTGAATGAGTATTTCTGCATAATAGGAGTCATAGAACATAATTCTAGTTAATTCTGTAGTGAACCCCATTTTATGTGACTAGCAATAACCACTAAATCAGTACATTCACTAACTGCTAACATATCCAAAATGGCAAGATTCTCCTAGCTGAATTTAATTGCTTGTTCGTCTCGTATTAGAACTCTCCAGGGGTATTCCTGTGCTGAAGATGAGCCATGGCTCAGGTTTTGTGATGCTGCAGTTTCCAAGTCACCTGAACGTGGCAGACAAGAAATGGCATCAACTAGAAGTCAGAACCAATGGTCAGGTCAGTTACTTGATTTGTTTCCACAGCAGGATGTTTATGTCTCCAATAGCATTTCCCTGTGCAGAAACAGGAGGGTAGAAAAACCACACTGAGTTAATTACATGTATTATTCTAACTGTGCTTGTAGATTTGATGAATAATACAAATTTTGGGAAGACAGCATTGTCAATTCCAAATCTGCCTATGTTGTAATCCGTATTCTGGGATCAGAGGAATCTTTTTTTTTTTTCCCCTGTTTTTTAAGCTCTGCAGCATGTGCAATGCGCATAAAGGCTTAGTTGTAATTTGCAGATTCAGTGTACACATTTGGGTACTGAATTCTATTACCTGTGCACAAAAAGTGGAGAATTATTTATTTGCAAATGCAGTTAAGAGTTTTTCTGAAAGTGGTTAAACTACTTGGAAGCATAATTTAAATGCAGAGTTAAGTGCCTTCTTTTGTTAGATGGTTCCATTTTGGCTTTACTAGTTATTGCAAGATCTAAAACAGAACAGGAAAAACCCCAACCCTTTTTGCTGGATGGTATGCGAAAGAAAATACGAAAATTTGATACAACTTGTTTATTCAGTTTTATAGAAATTCTTAATTCAATAATCCTATGTTTTGGTGTAGGATGTTCGGTTCATTTTGGATCACTGCAGTGCAGCTGTTGTTTCAGAGATAGAAGGAGTAGGCAAATGGCTGTCCACTGAAGATCGTACAAATTGTGAAGTCTTTGGGTCTGTTCCACAAAGAGCAAGGTACATTTCTGAAGGTTCGCTGAAAAACAGTTTATTTTAAGGCCTTTGAACACCCTACCTGTCAAAGTGAAGCCAAGTTATTAATGACTAGGAGCATGAAAGCGTTTGCTTTTCTCGAGGACCTTCTGGGCCATGCCTGGACCTTAAAGCACTAAACAAATTTCAGGGAACCAGTCTTCCTCCAAGTAGCGTTGCCATACTAAATGACAGCCCCAGAACACTACGTGGCTAATACTGGAGCTGTTGTGGGTACTGTGTACCATCCCTCACCCACGGGATTTCTCTCACTTTATTTAAGTGTCCCTGTAAGCCTGTTCTTGAAAACCTCATGAAATTAAGCCAGTTGACTTTTTAATGGCAATAACTCTGGTTCCTCAGCCAGTCTTATTGTTAGGTTGCTCTGTCAGAGTTCCTACTGATGGCCCTTGGCGAATGTGTTGAGGCAGACTATAGCACATCAGGGTCTCCGGCTGATCCCAGGTAGCTCCTGTACAGCAGAGTCAGAGGAAGTGCACCTATGTGTGCCCGTACCTCCGCGGTTCTCTGCGCAGCCTGGTGTACCTCTATTTCCTGCTGGTTACAGTAGGCTGGTGCTGGTGTGCCTGCTTGTTGGCTGCAGGGTCTCATAAGGAGGCCTGCGTTCCAGCGAAGTCATCCAGCCAAGGTGCAATAATGACTCTGGTGGTTTGAATTGCTTGTCCTGTTGGGTCAGCCCTTAGCCTCAGTTAAAAGTGAAAAGTAGGAAAAGCTTATTCAAAAAGCGGTTATTACATTCAAAGCAGAAGGATGTGTTCGGCTGCATTCTGCAAGGGTTTGGATTCAGTATGATTCAGTCCTATGGACTGATGCTTATTGCCCTTGCTGGTGACGCCAAGCTGGGAGAAGTGACCAGTATGTTGGAGGGCATGGCTTGGAATTAAAAATGATCTCAGCAAACTGAAAGTAGGACCTGGAAATACACTGTGTATTTCTGCTGTAACAAAGGGCCAAGTACTGCATGTAGGCAGAAATGACCAGCCTCAAATAGAGAGAAGGGAACAGCTGCCAAGTACCAGTAACAGATACGGATGGTGGTCAGAAACTGAGTCAGCAATGCCACGTTAACATGAAAAAGGCGAGCACTACGCAGTAATACCTCAACACCTGTAAAGACCTGGAAAATAATCCTTCCACTCTGGTTAGCACTGCTGGGCCTCAGCTGGCGCCCTGGGTCCGGTTTGTGCACCACAGTGCAGGAGAGATGTGTCCCAACTGGGTGTAGTCCAGAGAAGAGAAAATGACTGTAATCAGCTTGCCTTGAGAATAAGACCTATCAAGAATGAAGGGATTGAGGTCACTTAAATGAAAGAAAGGAAGACTGAGGAGAGATACGGTAAGTCTCAGTGTATATAAAAGAACGCTATAAAGAGGATTTAGACAATCTCTTCTGTATAGGGCCTTAAGTTACAGTGAGGAATATTTGGGTTATATTTTAGGGAAACCTTTGTACTAATAAAGATACTTGAGCTGTGGAACAGATAGTCCCAGCAAGTGTGCTGATTAGCATCGGGATTAAGCCTTGTCAGAAGGTGCATGGAGCCCTCTTAGTCATGAAAGGAGCACAGAAAAGGGGGGAAAATATAAGGACAAATGAAAAGAAAAAATGGAGTTGATAACTCAGGGAAGAAGAAACTGAGAGGACTAAAATACGTGGAGTTCTTTGGCTCAGAGAGGTGACCGAGTGACGGTGCAGAGCCTGGACGTGTGTACCATTCCTTTTAGACCACATTGACCCAAGTTTTAGGTTTCTGGCCTTTATCGTACATGAAACAGTCTTCGTTGGAGTATTCTACAGTATGGGAGGAATGCACACACACAGAAGCACTTGAAGGAGAATATGGTGTCTAGAATATCACAGCTGTTCCTGACTTGAACACAAACGTACCTGAATTGTAATAGTGTCCCATGGGTAAACTCCCAAAAGACTTAACTGTCACGTTTAAAAAATAAATTACCCTTTATTTTAAAGGGCCAGCTTCTGCTTACTGACTGTATTTCAGAGAAAAAAGATGGTAAAATAGTTGCATTCTGTTGTTATTTTACAAAGCCTCCATTATTTGAAAATGCAGTGTAGGTGTTTATTTATCTGCCTTATTGCATAATGCCTGTGTTTGAAGGTAAATTCACATCTACTTTTATTATTCATATAATTTTTGAAGGTATTTGAATGTGAACCATGTTCTACAGCTGGGTGGTGTAAAAGAATCATTACCATATTCCTACCCACAATTGCTACACAAACACTTTTCTGGCTGTTTGCGGAATTTCATCGTGGATACTCAGGTAAGACAAGTGTGACATTCTGCTTTAGCAAAAGAGTAAACTGCTTTATTAAATTTTTGGAGATTTGTATTATCATGAAACTTTTGCTTCCGTTAATCTATTCAATACAAGAAAATTAGGATTTTTCTATCATAATCAGAATAACTACTTTGAAAAGTTACTTCTTAATTACAGACTTATGTAGTTCTGAGCCAGAAACTGTGCCTTTGTTTATCCCCTACTTCATGCAGCTGCCTTCCAAGCTTCTTTGCTCGTTCAGGGAACTTCTGAATGGCAGTTGTATAACGGTGTATTTTTGCCAGCTGTCTGCTTTGTTAGGAAGTATTAGGGGTTTTTTGCTTTCATAGTCAGTTACAGTTTATTCAAAGGCAAAATATGGTCTTGATAAAATAAGTTGAAATGTGAATGTCAAAAAGCAAACTTACCATCTTAAGCAATGGAGATGAGCAGGCTGTTACGTGGTGTAGCTATTTCTGTTTAAAAATGAAGTGTAAGTGTTTCTTAAATAATATTTTGGTGTCGTACAATTTTCTCTTGAAGGTGTATGACCTTCAGTCTCCTGCAGAGTCCCTGAATAGCTTCCCTGGCTGCACACTTACGGATGGGAGCTGTGAGACCATGGGGTCTTCTTCCTGCGGTATTCATGGGAGGTGTCTTGGAGACTGGGGCTCGTTTGCTTGTCATTGTTTGCCGGGTTACTCTGGCTATCGGTGTGATCAAGGTGAAGTCTGTTTTTCTGTTACGCTATTGATAGGCTGGTAAATTTTACAACAAAGCAAACTTAAAATGCTTGTGGATAATGATTGCCAAGGTGGTTTCTGATGTTTACATTGTGTAAAGCCATATTTCAGTGTAGTTGCCTGCTATTTTTAACCATCTCTTTTCTAATTCCTTTTGAGAAATTACTTTCTCAGTATCAGATCTTTTCTTTGGTCCTGAGGGTGTTTGTGCAATAACTGTGTAATGGAGACTGTGTGGCAAAAGAATTGTGAACAAAATAATTTGTTCTGCTCACACCTGTTTGGATTTGCATCGTTCGGAAATGTAACTTAAATGTGAATGTTCCAGTATCACTTACTGTGCAAAATTAGAACCTCACAACAGGAACTGGAAATTACTACTCTGTTGGTGTCTGGAAGAGACTCTGTTGGCTTAAGGATCTGTGCTTTTGGTGTAGTAGGGTCTTTTCTTTAGCCCTCATGGAGCAAAGTTTGCAGCAAAAAGACAACTATAAAATAGCAGGTTGTGAAAATTGCTTAATACTTTGTCAGCAGTCTCTTCTTTTGTCTTGGCCAGAGCTTCTGCTTTCCCGCTGTCGTACTGTGTGAGCATTGTAAGGAGAAGCATTAGCAGGATCAAGTCAGGAGGGAGACCACCTCTTTACAGAGGAAGATGAAGTGGGAGAGTGGCTGGAGAAGCTGTGGAAATAGATAAAGGGACATGGCCCAAAAGACAAGTTATGTCTCCTGGGTCCATGCTGATCCATCCATGGATCCATTACAGTTTTTTCTTTTACATTCAACTCTTACTGTGAAAATAATGGAAACAATAATATTGCCCTCTCCCTACAAAATGGTTTAAAGGTCTTTATCTTGTCTTTTTAGTTGCCAAAGAGTACACATTTGGGCCAGGAAGTCACATTCGCTATCAGCTTCCCATCAGTGTGCCTGCCCGTAGGACGCTGTTTGAAGCCATGATTAGGACACGGCAGCCTGACAGTGTCATCACAAGCATGTTATCTCGAAATAAGGATGAACACATCACCCTGCAGGTGAGCAATCCAGACAGTAATAGCATAAAGTTAAATCAATGCCAGTGGATCATTAGCCCAGAGAAACATTAGCTTAAGAGTTGGAAATAGAACCAAAAAACTTATGCTAAGCACAAGATCTTTGGAGTTTGTCTTACGGACACTGAGAGATCTGATCCTTCACTTAAGACACTGACCACACAACCATGGTATTCCGTTGGATTTCAAAGGAGTTTATTGCCAGCGACAGTGAAGTGTAGTGTAGTTTGTACAGAACAGGATGAATAGTGTGTCTGTCCTGGTGTCCTGTTCAGCCATGGTCACGAGTGGCCGAGTCTGCATAATTCAGACTCTGCCAAGAAAGGTGCCTGTAGCAGTTCTAATGATGTCAGACTCTCAGAATGACAACCAGTTCATTTTATACGTACCACTGAATGAGTCACCTCTTCAGCTAAGTTGGTTTGAGCTGTCAGTGTAGAGGTGATACACCAGGTTCTCGGCCATTTGAAGAACCCCATAAATCTGTCCCAAGGGAGATGCAGGGTAAAATTACTCTGAGTTAATTACATACTACTGTGAGTACACTGCTACCAGTATTTAGCTTGTCTAGTTCTGTGGTGCCCGAGGTATCTTTATATTTCACTGTATGTGCAGTGTAAACATACCCTAAATTTAAACAAATGCTTTAAGATTGAAGTTACAGGTCAGTACAAAATGTCAGGTGATGACTTTTCTTTCTTACTACTTTGTTAATTATCCACAAGGTCGTTCAGGGATTCTTAGTGGTCTCGTATAATCTGGGTGATGGAGACTATTCTGTAAGCCTTCCCTCCTACCACATTGATAATGGTGAATGGCATCATATCGCACTGGAGAGAAATGAAAATGAATTTACTCTTCGCC